ACTGTGGGCCTGAGGATCTACTGGGTGCTGGAGACACAAAGGTGAGGCCAACGTGACCCCTATCTTCTGTCCTGGGCTCACAGCAGGCATGACTAATCAATGAGAATGCTCCTTCCTAGGAGCCCAGATGCAGCCTCAGAGTCTTGCTCAACACAGTTCTGCAGCCACTGCCAATCAAGCACCTGAGACCTGAGTGAGTGAGGAAGGTGCATCTGCCTGCTCCATCCCAGCGACAAACTGCATCAGAGGAAAAAGTTTCCCAAGAGAGAGGCTGCCCTCTGGCAGGTTATCTTTGGGTACTTCCCTGTAATCAAGGCCTCCCCTCAAACACGACTACCCCTGCGGCTAGGACTCTCAGTACGCCCCCCTTGCAGGCAAACCTGATCTGCAGAAGGCAGCCCTGCAGTAAGCGTCTGCCCAGCACATTGCAGGACAGCCCATGAACAGCCTTTAGGACTGCAGGAGGGGGTGACGGAGCAGCAGAACAGTTGGGGGCCCCAGGCAGGGCTGGGGTGGGGGTGTGGGAAAAGACGGTAACAATTACTCTAACTGGAGCTGGGCTGGCCCTTAGTGAGGAGGGGTCCAGGGCGGGGCAAGAGCAGCAGAACAGTTGGGGGCCCCAGGCAGGGCTGGGGTGGGGGTGTGGGAAAAGACAGTAACAATTACTCTAACTGGAGCTGGGCTGGCCCTTAGTGAGGAGGGGTCCAGGGCGGGGCAGAAGAGGCCAGATCATGAGCCAGCATGCTGGGGGCTCCACCAGCAGTGCAGGGCAAGTCCAGTGACCCAGAGCCTCGGGGTGGATTGTGTAAAGGAAAAATGAAACCGAATGCAGAGCCCTGGGCCTCCTGCCAGCCCTGGCTGCCCATCCCTGTATTCACTGCTGTCACCCCAGTCCAAGCCACTGTCATCACTTGCCAGGCCTGGACATCTGCAGTCGTCTCCAACCTGGTCTCCCTGCTTCACCTCTGTCCCCTCCACACAGCTGGAGGGATCAACAATGTAACCCCGCCCAAGGTGCTGCCCTGCTTCAACACTCCGGTGACCACACATCACACTGAGGACCAGATCCAGATGCCCAAGCCTGGCCTCTGACCCCACTTCCACCTCCTGCTTGTCTCCCCAATACTTACTCCTTCCTGGAAACACCAGCATCTTTATGTTCCTGAAACATATCAGCCTCATCCCCCCTCTGGGCCTTTGCCCTTGCTGTTCCCTCTACCTGTAACAGCCTTCCCCATACTGTCCCGTGTGGCATCTCAGTCAGCTCCATAAGGCAAAGGCTGTGTTCACCCTGGTCATTGCTGTGTACCCAGCACCTGGCACAGAGTAGATGCTCAATAAATGTTTCTTGCAAAAGACTGAGAGGAACAGCTTAAATCACCTAGAAGGTTCTCACTGGGACCTTCCAAGTCCCCATTTGCTGTCCCTCCCTGGAGATGACAGGGTGTTCCCCCTCATGTGCCAGTTCCCAACCAGTGCAGAGCTCTGGGGAGAATTGTGATTTCAGAGGGAAAGATGATTGATTAGTGATGTCTGCCACAGTCCAGGTAAGGCAGTAGGGCATCTACGGGCACTTTTGTCTGGTTTGTTCATTGCTGTCTCCATAGCACCCAGGGCAATGCCTGGAACCTAGCAGGTGCTCAATAAATATTTGTTGAATGTCAGTACATGGGTTCTTTATCTAACTGGCTCCTCCTCTCAGGAAGAAAAACACCTTTAGATTATTCAACCAACTGCCAGCAAGCCATTTCATGAGGACCCACTGTGTGCTATTCCTGAGAATACTCCAGAGGAGAGATTCTGATCCTTTATTTACAGAGGAGGAAGTTGAGGTCTTCATGGGACTTGATAGAGATCACCCAGTTGGGTTCAGCTGACCCCAAAGTTCTCCAAGAACCCAGTCTCTCAGTCTGGGGTGAGAGGGTGAGGCCTCTCCAGGCTCCTGCCCCCCACCCCGGACATCCCCAATTCCCTTCCTAGGGTATGGGGATGTGGACAGGAGGCCTCTGCTTCCCTTTTGGGGCATGTCACAGGGCTGTGGTTAAACGGAAGCAGGGCCCCTGCCCATCCCAGGCCTCACCCTCCCCATTCCCAGCCTAGGCTCTTTCCAGCTGACCATGGGGTGTCAGTTTCCCGTTCCTCTTTTTTCTGGGCAGGAGGAAGTGGGAGGGGCCATGGGAAGATCTCAGAGACTCAGTTTCCTCATCTGACAAGTGGGCTCAACGCCTGGCACCTCCAGGGGTTGGTCTGTGATGAAAGTTCAATGAGATCATTCATGAAAGATGCTGAGCCAGGGTGTGACAGGGGGTCAGCACTTGAAATCTAGGAAAACGATTGGTATACCCAGGCTGGGAAGGTACAAGTGGGTAGAGGGGCCTTGCAGCCCATCTCCCTGCTCAGAACCCCCTAAGACTCCCCTGTGCTCAGCATAGAGACCAGGCTGCTCTCCCTGAGTAGCCCGTCCATCCTATCTCTCACCTTCCTCAGTCCCTGCTCACTCCTCACCCAGAAGTTCCAGCCACATGGCCTTTTAGGCTATCCTATACACTCTGCTCCATTTCACCACAGGACCTTTGCACATGCTGTGCTCACTTGCTGGAACATTATTACCTCTCTTTCTCATCTATTTGACTTCTGCTCGCCCTTTTGTTCTCAGTTCAGGTTCATCCAGAAGCCTTCCTGACCACCCTAACCACGTCAACCTCCTCCCCCGATTACAGGCCCTCAAATTACCTTGTACTTGTCATAGTCACAAATTGACATTTCTGGGCTGGCTGGTTAGCTCAGTTGGTTAGAGTGTGGTGTTGGTAACACCAAGGTCAAGGGTTCGGATCCCCATATGGTCCAGCCACTAAAAAAAAAGAGAGACAGATTGACATTTCTGAGGGTGATTGTGTTACTGTTTGTCTCCTGCACTGGGGCTGTGAGCTTCTTATGGGCAGGGATAACTGTGTCCCAGCCCCTGACTCAGAGTAGATGCTTCATTAACATTTCCTGAATGAATGAATGATGAATGAAAAATGAACGAAGGGAAGGGCAAGTCACACCCCCGGACACCCTCTCCTACATCCCACCAGAGCCTGGGGGCCTGCCCATCCCTGCCC